GCTTCATTCTAAAAGATATCGTGATCAAATATTGATGACGAAAATCAGCACTGTTGTACAGAATAATTCGGAATATTTGGCACTCGACTTCCCTCATAGGTTTACGTAGTCCGGAATTCAACTGTCCATATTTTGTAACGCGGGCTTTGCTCATCTCTTCATAATCTGTATTCTGAGTAAACATAGTGGCAGAAAAAATTTAAAGTCTATTTGTATTCCGTCTCCAAGTGCTTGATCACCGATTAGTTTATAGTATAGCTGGAGATAGCTGTCTCTTATCTCCATAGTCAGTATTTGTTAATGAATCAGAGCCAGCACAGTAACAAATAAGGTTCAGTATGATTGGGGAGTGTACTACGAATGCCCACATATCATCTAGCAAAGAAAGTGTTCTTCCCTTCCCCCTCCATGCGAAACCTTCACTTGTTTTGCTGCGAACAGGCTACCAATTGGCAACAAGAAACCGGGGTAGATATATTAAGGCAGTGCTGGGAGAGCTGAGTACCCTCCTGGATGTGAATACGTTTGGTTCTCCTTTATAGTGGTTCAAAACCACGAATGACAAGTCTAGTAGCTGTAAAAAGTCCATCATGACTTCCCAGCATGATTACCAAGCCAACATGCAGTAAGTCTGCTTTGGGGGAGGTTCGCGAAGGATGCTGATGGCGTCCCAACCTGCTGGTATATTATTGGTGATCGTTTTCCTTTTGAACGTTTTTCAGTATGCTGCCACATCTTCGCCTTCTTTTCATTCTTTTCTCCACCATCCTTTTGCGTTATTATGAGCGTTAGTATTGACTACCGGTGCCTCCACTAGTGTGCGAAACACCGTTCATTAAAGCCATTAACTGGTGCGTGAATATTCTACGATAACCGAGAATGACACCAGTAAACGGTTAGAGCGAGATTTATAGGGACAGCACCGGGTACAATGAACGCAAGGTACATGTTATCCTTTGCTGTATACGTATGAGTTCATGCTCTGACAGTAGCCTTAGAGTTCTGATTTCGCTTTCATTTAGCAGGTTTGACCGGATTCTGGACAGTCTCAAAATATCGGTGGGTTGGCCTTTATCACAGACATATGTAGTTCGAAATTACAATCTCTTAGTTAAGGCATGCGGGATTTTGTCGCATTTTCCCGTAAATCATTTGGATTCATTCGGAAGTAAAACCATTCTTTGAAAAACAAAATCGTTGACTCTCTAAGGTGATAGGGATGGTTTTCAGTAGAATTTGACTAGAAATGCTTGCTTTGAACCATTCTGTGTAGTAACACTATTTGGAGAGGGGATCCTGAGGAGTTACTATGTTCGTTTGTCCATGCTTTGAATCTAAGAGGTCAGTTGTGAAAGCAAGTCACCAGTATGTGGAGTGTTTCGAATTTGTTTCAAAGTATCCTCAATCACTGAGCGTGTGACTGTCATGACTATATAACCCATACATTTGCATAACCCATTAACTCGTGATTCTCACTCTATTTTCAGCTCATGTACTACAGTTATTAGACGATTAAAGCGTACATTACGTCTTCCTATTCTGTCTCCTTTCTAATCCCGTCCTGGAACTACTCGACTCTCGCAACAAAAGTCCGTGGTTAGAACCAAGCCCGGACATCTCAACCGCTCCTATCTAGGCTTGAGATGTCCGGGTTGCGTTCTAATCACGGACTTTTCATACAGTAACTTCGTGCGTTAACCACCACTGTTGTGCGGCAGCGAAGCATCGGTGTTGAACACTGATGTCATGGTGTCGACGATGACGATAATGTCTAGGCTTGCAAAACCTCGGAGTACCACACCGCTCGAGTTTCCATCGGATTGTGTGATATCTACGCGTCCCGCGTACAGATGGGCGATTATGTACAGCATGGACTCCAGGATGCTTAGCTGTCATGCCACTCCAAGGAAGCACGAGGATTGAGATATCGTCAGGCTTCCCAAGACTACACAGAAGCAGTCGAGATACCCAGGATTGGATCCGAACCACGGACTTTCCGATCCTTAAGTTCGCTGAGGCATCTCACACACGAACCCATTATTTTATTTACTCAACAACGAAACCGCACAAAGGATATAAATGTAGGAACATAGATTTGGAGTGCCAACTGCACGCAACCCAAAAAAACGTCACTGAACATGTGGAACCTGCTGATAAACTGCACCTAGCTTTACTCCAGGCGCAGTCGAGATGCCGAGAGTGGGTTTGAACCATGGGTATTTCGGTCGGTCAATTTGCTTTTTAATTACTGAACCATCTAGAGCTCACTTCAGGATAAGTGGCTTCCTGTATGACTCTAGAAGGAGAAGTCGGTCGTACTCTCCTACAAGCCGCAACAATTGGTGGTGGCTATTAAGCGTAGGCTGTCGGTATAGCATTCTAAAGGGTGAAAATCATTGGAGCCCCAGGTCAGATGGCCAAGAAGAAGGTGACTAAAGCTTAAAAGAGCATCGAAAGAACGGCGGAACGAAATTACGCCTGCATAACAACTTCCAGTATTCTTACGAACTTTGTGTGACTTTGTCCAAATTGAACTTCAGCTGGACAGCCCAGTTAGAGCGCAATCGTTACATACCGCTCAAATGGGCAAAAGCCATAACCTGCGTGAAATGCGTGGACTCACCCATGCACAACGATTACAACTCACAGGGAACGGTACAACGGGGGCTCAGGATAACGTGGAGCCCAAGCATCATCATAACCATCATTGACAGCAACACTGATGCCTCACTGCCATACAACCATGCCTATTCAATCCAAAACGCTGTTTTAATCGAAATAAGTAAGGTAAGGGGAAGGAATTTATTCCTAGACCAGCACAAATATCCCGGACAATCTTTACAGAAACTGACAATATTAACACAAGAAGGGTCAGGTGGACTCGATCCCGGAAGATGAATAGGACCAACGGCACCCAAACTTTTCGCAACATTCAAATCTGCCATGTCAGATTCTGTCCAGAGTTCCGTCACTTAGAATTAGCCATGAAGAATAGCGCTCGTCTCGGTAGGTGGTTACTCGGGATGCGTAACTCACATCCCAGCCACCTTAACTTGCAGTGCTGGTTGCATTCGTTAAAGGAAATACCCTCTGCGTCCTGATCACCTGATTGCAAATTCGCCTACTCTAGCCGATTCCAACCCAATCGTGCACAGTTGGTAGAAAATGAGACCACGCAATCCAAAAAATTTGGCCAGCATTTGCAAATACTAATGTGAAAAAGGTTCGGAACATACGAGTGAAACATCGATGAACTACAAGGTTAATATCCTGCTTCGCCCGAGTAGCTCAGCAAAAGACGGACTACCAGACTTGGTCCTCCTCAAAATCCCTACAGCGGAAAGTCACCCGGTCACATTGATGCTCACTGTAGAAAATGAGGTCGGGCTGACTGATGTGCTTCTCAAGTCAAGTGGAACGGGTAAAACCTGGTGGGAAGTCGGAAATTGGAGTTTCAACATAACCAATGGACGCCTTTTATAATTCCGCGGAAATTGGGCTTCGTACTAACACATGTAGGGTAGTCGAGATAAACCTTAATTAGTCGATATTCATTGGGGCAACGATGAAGAAACACGAACAAACAAGAGTAGGAGTATCTAGTGACCTATCGACCCCACTTAGCAACAGCTGAATTGAGTTTTCAGCCTGAATCGAGAGCTCACAGACGAACATGGAGTACGAGCAAGGAAGGCTCAAAACAAACAACAAACTATCTGTCCTACGTTAGTCCATGTGAATTCCAACGGGCACAGCACACTCAACTGACGATCCAACAAAGCTTACCTAGAAGGGGGTCGTGTGCAAATTACGAACCAAAGCACACATACACGCACATATACAGTGATGGCTGGAGAAAATGATACATATATGTCACGTCCGCTACCATCGCACACAACGACGTAAGACAGTTCCAACTGTCGATGGACCGAATACAAGGCGTTTGGCACCCAGACGTTCTAACACAACATGTGATGCGTCACCCGCTGGTGTACAGGAAGAAAAAACAATAGGGCGGTGACGCACTATGGAGTTTCATCTGCGGTTCAATCGGCTGGTCCTTTGTCATTAATAAATCCCGCCAAGTGTGATTCGTACATGTTAGACTTTGGTCATTTGGTAGAACATCTGGTGTACGAAGGACGAAGACCAGACGGCATTCAGTCAATAAGACAATCCCACAGTGACACGGTCCCCGGAGGGAGACAATACGGTAGTTGTGTAAAGCAGCCAAACGAGAACAGCTGCGTACAGACAGGAGACTAAAGGAACGCAGTCGGTTCAAACAGACAGATGATATCCGGAAAATATGCAACTGCAGAAATCGAATGTAGTAGCGCAGAGATGTAAGCATACAGTCACCCGACAAGGAAACTATCGGATGTTCACACTCGTAGGAAGCGTACAAACGGACAAGCCATTTTCACATGAACACCTTTCGGCGGAAAGTGTTTGCTCCGTCTGCATCTATGGCTTCATCTGTCAGGCGGATAATCTTGAGACAGGATTCTCGGTTTGCCAAGCGAAATGTGGTGTGCCACATTGAACAGTAATGTGTCAGTAGTATGGTGAGCAGCACAGCAATATGGTGAGCGGACAAATCGTTCAACAGACTAAACTAACCAAAATAGGAAAGAACAGATAGATCGAATCAACAGACATAAGCACAGCCAAACCGATCGAAAAGAAAACACGCCGGTGATTGTAGAACCGGGCTAGAGTCGATCAGAAAAGCGAGATCAACTGGGCCGTAATGTGTTGATCGCCAAACGGTCGAGCATAAATTGGAAGTGGTTGGATACTACCGTTTATCACCTACTGGAAAGGGCAATAAAACCATGGAGTTCGGTTAACTCTAATCGATAGCAAATTCATTTTACGCATTCCCCGACGCTTGTTCGGCTTTAACATTACCACAATTCACGGTCGAAAAACGAAACGAGGATACAGGTGAGGACTACTTATGCTGGTAAATATTCCAATAGGACCAACTGACTTACTCGACCCCGTCGAGGTCACTGTGGAAGTAAGCACGCGACCATTATGGTACCAGACAGGAGGCACCGGCTCAGATCCAACGCATGTCAAGCGTACCTCCGTCCCAGGTGGTTGACGCACCTCCGGTGGATAGATAACAACCTGGGGAGTGCCTGTGACGGAAAACAAGAGAAGACTGTTAACCAGTGGTATGTAGCTATCCCAACATAAAATAACGCTTTACACGGCAATCCAAACAACAGAAGGGAGCGAACATGCATCCAGGATGGTTTACCACGAAAAGGATGGCAGTTTGCACTTTCGTTGACATGAAATGGTTACACATGAAATGGTGGTCGTCAGGGGACACTGTTGTAATCTGTCTAATAAAGCGTTTCTGTTGAGAAATTATCGTATTTATTTGCCTGAAAGAGGGAGAAAACATTTTGAAGATTAGTGTTTGGCTAAATGCTGCTTTCATTCACAAAACTGAACTTTGTTTGGGAGGACTGAGGGTAGTGATATAATACCGCGCGATGAGGTATTAAAAACGGTTGGATCCGATGCTGGACGTGGGAGGCAAGTTAAGCACGGAGTTGTACGGTTGGTCTATTTTGAAGTGAACCAAGAAACGGTAAACATGATAAGACGTTGTCCGAGAGGGGAAGGACAGGTGACAAAAGCACATTAGTAGCCACAGCTCGTGAGCAAACTAATGCCGCTCGTTGTAACATACATAGAATGAGTTCCAAGAAAAACTCGGAGAACGAAGGGGATATTTATCAGTAGAAATCAGCGGACGGATCATTTCAGCAGGTCGCACACAACAATCAAGAAGGACGGAACAATAGTTGTAAGGACAAACGCCTTTTGAAAAGAGAGACTGAACGTCTCCCGCCAACCGAAAGATAAAAGTACCTTTCACGCACATACCAACCCGAATTAATGCCGTGGAGCTAAAACATCGCAGAACACCGTCAGCGAAACACAAGCAAGCGAAGCAGAAAACACTTTGCCCATGAAATCGTTCTAGAGAAAATCGATAATATATCCTTCTTCTGGGGAAATTCTTCTTATCATCAGGTTGCGTGACCATAAACCTTGAAGAATGTCACCGCTAATAAACAAACAAACGCGATGCCCAGGATATTAGCAGTTTCCGACTGCCTTTTCATCGTCTGTGGGGGAAAACTGTGTCAAATTAAAACTCAGGTTAACGAAGATCGGCCTGCCGAGGAGAAAATAAGTTGAACCCCCGCCTCCCAAAAAAAAAATCCCCAGTGTTTGACGAGGCAGTATTCGATGAGCAGAGTTTGGACGAAAACAACCACCAAAGATGCAATGTATTCACGCGAAAAGCTCTTGTCGTACATAAAGCGCGCCATGACAACATTCTGGAAATTCTCAGGCCTTTTGGATGAGCCATTAGGGCAACTCGCTAACTGGGTGCCACAGAAAGCATGAAGGCTGAGATACGGCCATTCATTCATACATTCATTTGAGGATATAAAATATCAATCCCTAGACGCGCGCAAGATGACACAGACGTTTCTTTTACAGTTGTTGTCATGATTTGTATATTGCACTTCCGCTCCGGGAAGAAAATCTTCAGACAACGCCAGCATCCATGGTCACGTCATCTTTATCACAGTCATCATCGGGAGCATGACATCAGTACTCAAACCCCGATGCTTCGAGGCCGTATAGCTAAAATTTATCTGAAAGCTTTGTTGTTAAAAAAAGAATGAGAGTGGACGGGGAGGGGACTTAGTGTTAGCCTTACACAATCATTCCGAGAAGCCTACATATCCAGATAATTATTCATGGAGTCTGGATGGAAAGCGATATCGATTGGCGACCCTATCCTGTAGCGCCCCTAAGCCAGGAATGGGATCGCGTGTATTTCACCAAACGATAAGGACCGCCCCCCACTAGCTATACAAAAGAGAATACCGTAATGAGGGAACTCCAAACCAGAGTGCGGCCGATGGAATTTAGCATCGGTAGTTTGGGGCGATTTTTGAACAAGTAATGGACATTTCTTCCTGCGACAGAGAAGCCAATCTATACCGCAAAGCCGAGAAGCAATGTAAAGATGTTACATACTTTTTGAGAAACTCCAGTGAGTTTCAAGCCGGCGACGAACCGGCCAGTAGCACGAACACTCAACCGTTCCGGCACGAGTGGCTGATAATCTGTATGGTTAGCCCGCACTTAATCACCATCATTATCAGCTGTAAGAACGACGTACTTGTCGTACAGTGAGTGTAGCTGTCGCAGTTTCGTTCACCGATGACTTGCGGAGATGAAGTAGGTAGCTGCGCATTGGAGGCGAGAGCTGATAAATTGGTGCGCAAATACAAGTCTGTCAGTGGATTTTTATGTGGGCGGATTGGGAAGGGGGCTATGCATTGAAGACAACAAACAGGTTAGACGCACGAGCGCCATTGAGGACGCGATTGGGTCATGTCTGACAATATCCCTAACCATTGATTTGAGCTGTCTCGGGGTCCCCCTCCAGGGAGGCAGCAATGACCAGCGCACCTGAGTTTACTGGTAATCGCTTCCATAGTTCGCTGCCAAGTCAATGTTTGACCACCTCTGGCTCGTTTCCACCCTTCGCGTGGTTCTGCAAAATGAACCCTTTGGGGAAGTCGGTCAACTGGCATCCGGAGCAGGTAGCCAAGCCAGCGCAATCTATGCAGTGTGATCAGTTCACCTATCGTGGGTGAGTTATTTCTCCCGAATACCATTCGATGTAGTTCAGTATAGCTGATCGGGTTTGTCCGAACTTAGACAAGATATAGCGTCATTTATTCTGTAATCCAGGAAACCACATCAAGTGGTCATGTGGTGATTTATTGAAACTCAGGCACTAGGTTGCGAGTGCTAGAGTCTCACGATTCTAATAAATGTAAAACAACTGTAACGTGCTTCTCGCAGACTGCCTTCTTTTGAGAGACGAAATCTCTATTACAATATCATATTGTATACCTTCTCGGAGATGGCCTGTCTTGGGAGGGACTACCGTGCAAAAGTCAAATGAAGATTCCTGAGAAGAGATCATCCATCTAACAAGGACTGCTTGTTCCAGTTCCAAATGGTGGTCGTGCATATACCAAACAACTAGTAACAAAAAAATTTCCGCGCTAGCAATTCAAATTTACTATAAAGTGGGCAAGAAGAAACCCACTCACATGGTGTCAGTTTCGGCCGAAAAAGACACGGGTGTCTACACGTAATCCAGTACTCATAAGGTTACTGAAACTCTTCAACAACTCGACCGGTTTCGCACTTCTTGGAGCTCACCAGGTAGGTGGACCATCATGGACAAGATATTCAGCTGGATTCAGCTGTCGAAACTAAATTCGTGTGCAAATGACAGAACCTGTCAGAACACACCGTGTTTTCAATCTTTGCTACTGTTAAGTCATCACAGACATTATTGTTTGTCTTCTGGGCGGGGGAAAACGGGTACATCTCGGCTAAACTGTTCCGACAGGCACAAAGTGCAGCGGAATCATCAAAAAGACGTAGCTGGCCAGCGCGCGCACACGTATACCGGTTGTGTGTGTGTGTGTGTGTGGAACATGACGTCTGACAGGCCCACACTCGGTAGGTTTACGACCTTAAATGAAATAAGCCATAGACCATGATGGGACAAACGTTGGCGGGCGCGTGTACGTTAGGCAATTAGATGTTGAACAAGTTTGTTACTCTGAGTGTGTTTTTCCGAACAAAAAAGAGATACGAAACAACTGGAGAAGAAAAAAGAAATGGCTGATTACTGAGTGACAGAGGTGCTCGCTGGTTCGCGAACGATTAGTGAGGCGTCCGGAATCATTCATAGTATGGAAGGGGTGAGACGCTGTCCTGATCATGCAGAACCTCAGAGTCTGAAACTCTTGTTCCAGGTTATATTCTAATCAAATGCATGGAAGTAGAAGGACTGGAAGCACTACCTCCTCAGAACAGACACCCAAAAAGATCGGCTCAAACCCCCGATGAAGAGCACAAAAATGTGGAAGCAATTTCGCAGATAGACAAAATGACGTATCGCATGAAAACGATTCACCGTACATGTTTGCGACCCCATATAACACGTCCGAGCATGTGACGATAAACGCTTCTTTGCAACTACGTCAAATACTATGGAATTTTTAGTCAAAATACAGCGCAGTGAAATAACTTGTTGTAATCCGACGTTTTCGTTGCCACGGGAAAAAATTTCTAAGGATTTCTACAATCTAATGGTCACAGAAACGTCGGATTACAACAACTTATTCCACTACTGTTGTTCCAACTTTATAAATTCTATATTACATACCACATGGCGCGCAATCCGAGCTCAATTGGGACCGGGACTCCTAAGCCTTGTGAACTAAGTCGAATAAAATGAGAAGTCTCCTGTTTACAATATGCTCAAGATAAATGCGCTGCATTCACAAGTGAACAGGACAGCACGGGAGACCCAACATGATTTCACGTGATTATCCCGTTAACACTGAATCAAACGACCATTTTCAACATGGTAATCGAATCCAACGTACAAGAAGCTTTTGTGCCAGCGCCATCTGTCCAATTTCGTTGCATCATCTACGAGACGTGAAGGTATGAAGGCCTATCTCTCCCTAGTAGAGATGTCCACCAATGACGTTTATGAGTAACCTTAGGACTAATGGCTTGGAAATTCACGGGGAGCTTTTGGACAAATCACCGAAGCGTAAAACAGAACTACAAACAGACAACTGGTGAACACGATCATTAGGTCGAAAAATCCACGACATTTGCCGTTTCTTATTCAAACCCAAAAACTTGTGTATGAATGAGCACGGTATTGAATTTCAACGGAAAATTGTGAGAACAAATCCCCGAGTGGCATATTTTGTCTCAAGTAGGCGATTGTTAACAATGCTGCCTTGAGAGATCATTGGTTGAACGCTAAGAACTACATGTGCGTTTGAATGTGTGTAGATATTCAAGGCAGGAGGCTAGGTTTTGCCTCTGAGGCTTGTGATCGGAGAAACGCCCACTTTCTACAAGAAAAGACCGCATAATATCCTGTGTTGTGAAGACGTGTCCACTGGGACATCCGCAACGCTTTAAAGCTGGCAAGCACGATTGCAATCTTGCTAATACATGAATTACCGTCATTCTCAGCTGGTCCGGTCGC